AACAAACATATGACTGAGCATCTGCACTCTGGTATTGATCTCAGAGAAATGAAGAAATATGTGTACCAAAAGCTTGTACACAAATGTTTGTAGTAACTTTAAAATAATAACCCCAAACAGGAAACAAGACATAATGTTCTTCAACAGGTGAATTGTTAAAAAAAAATTAAAACAGTGGTAATAGCCATACCCTACAATATTGCTCAGCATTTAAAAAGAATAAACTGTTGAAGATGGTGAAATAGGAAGACCCTGAGCACACTTCCTCCCATGGGTACATCAAAATGACAACTGTTTACAGAGGTGGCTCAGATGGTAAAGAATCCACCTGCAATGCGGGAGACCTGAGTTCGATCCCTAAGTTGGGAAAATCCCCTGGAGAAGAAAACAGTTACCCACTCCAGTATTATGGCCTGGAGAATTCCATGGACAGAGGAGCCTGGCGGGCTACAGTCTATGGGGTCGCAAAGAGTTGGACAAGATTGAGCGAGTTTCACAGACATACATACAGAGCACTTACAGAGCAACTATCTATGAGATAGTTTTCCACAACTAAAGATACAAAAAGGAAATCACAGTGAATGGGTAGGAGGTGCAGAGACACAATGTAGTCAAATTTCACAACCCTGGGAAGGCAACACACAAATAGCAGGATAATCACAATAGCAGAGATTCTCTCCAAGGCACAAAGGACCCAAACCCTACATCAGGCTCTCTGATTCAGGGGTCTTGCATCAGAAAGATGAACCCCTAGAGCATCTGACTTTGAAGACCAGTAGGGTTTGCATATGGGAGAGGTAGAGGGCTGTAGGAAAAATCCCCATGCTCTGAGTCCCAGTAGAAATTAAAGAAATAATCCCACTCACAATTACATCAGAAAGAATAAAAAAACCTAGGAATAAATCTAGCTAAGGAAGTAATAGACTTGAATTTGGAAAACTATAAAACTGATGAAAGAAATTGAAGATGAAAAACAGATAGAGATGTATATAGCTTCAGATTCCTGAAACTAACACAACATTGTAACTCAATTATAATTCAATTTTTAAAAAGCACAAGCTATTAATACATGGAATAAGCTAGATAAATCTCCAGATAGTCATGCTGAGTGGAAAAGACACAGTCTCAAAAAATTATATACTATACCATTTCATCTGTCAAACAATCTTGCATTGACAAAATTATAGAAATAAGTAACACACTAGTGACTGCAAGGGATGAAAATGGGGGTGGTAAACAGGGGAGTGGGAGCAGACATAAAAGAAGAAAAAAAAATGAGGAAACCTTGTGGTGATGGAAATGTTTATTATCATGACTGTAGCAATGCCATTATTCCTATTTTGGTATTGTACTCTTGTTTCACAAGATGTTAACTTTGGGAGAATTGAGTGAAGGATATATGGTATCTCTGTGTTGTCTTACAGCTGCATATGAATCTACAACTGTCTCAAAAAGAGTTTTAAAAAGTAGAGTGTCTCAGTTTCTGCTTTGCCATTCCAAGATTTCTTGTTGTTGTTGTAAGTGATGGACAGCCAACAAAGAAGTGGTTAAAAGCTTGGAGATGGGGTTGATATGAAACACCCATGCCTTAGAATGGTCCCTCTAGTATGGTGTAGATGTATGCGTGGAAGCAGGAAATACAGCAGATGGACCAGGCAAGACTCAGACAGGGCACATTTGCTGGCCTTTGTTTCCCATTGTGGAGCTGGGAGCAGTAACACATGAACTACTGAAAGTAAGATGGCAGATTGGACAAAGAGCTTGAGAAGAATGGTGACAATTTAAAAACCAAAAGGAAAATTATGGAGTACTGCTAAAGTCTCAGCTCAGGTAAATGAACATGAATTTATTTTGATATAAGATTTGAAAGTTGATTAATTTTTCCTAAGTTTATTTATCACCTATGAAGGAGAAAGGGAGATAGACTGGGCCCAGTTCAGCTGGGAGTGCTATGCTAAGTCAATTCAGTAGTGTCTGACTCTGTGTGACCCTATGTACTATAGCTGGCCAGGCTCTTCTGTCCATGGGGATTCTCCAGGCAAGAATACTTGAGTGGGTTGCCATGCCTTCCTCTGAGGAATCTTCTCAACCGAGGAATCGAACCTGAATCTCTTACATCTCCTGCTGCTGAGTTCTTTACCATCCTGAGTTCTTTACCACTAGTGCCACCTGGAAAGCCCTCAGCTGAGAAAGTGCAGCCAAAATCAAAGAGGAGAAAAGTCAAATGTGTTCATAGAAAGCAGCTCCAAGTGAGTGACATTAGTCCAAATTGATTTAGGAAAAAGCTGAGGTCAGAGCTATTTTGGAGAAGAACTCTCAAGAAAGGGAGAAAGAAGGGACACAGAATTTATATGTGGGAAGAAACAGCAAGAAATGGAGAAGGATTTGAACTGAGTTTTGAATGTCTCTGTAGTTCATATTGTTTCTACTAATTTTTCTCCTTTTGACCAAGATTCAACAGATTAGCCCCAGGCTAGGCGTGTGGGCAGAATCGGTGCCAGCTGCAATCTGGTGCTACAAGACTAGAGTCTTGGAGTCTGTCCCAGAATGAGAGCTGAGAGTTCAGAACAGGGTCTGTGGGTCTTTTAGAAGTCTGAGTTCTCTCTACTTCCTCTAGGAAGTGTTCCCTGATGCCCTCTGGCTGAGGGCGGCCAACACTACTAGGCCCCCAACACATCACTCCACCCTCCACAAAAATGGGCTGTTCCTGCAGGATTCATCTTGGAATCTGGCCAAGAGGGGACTGGCTTGAGGAATATTGTCTTGGAAGGATTTCAAATGCAATTGAAGTGGATCATCTTTGAAGATAATTTAAACTTGCTGGAGTATTGTAGAATCTAAGAGTCTGTCTCCTTTCCTCCATTAATGTTTAATTGCTCCAACCACTTCCCCATTCCAAGAGCTGGCCACAAATTGTTCAGCCCTCAGGGACCTGAGTGGATTGGCTCCTCTGGGGCTCAGGCCTGGCCTTCCCTGGAGATGGCACTGCAGCTAAAGCATCTCAAAGACGTCCTGGACTCTTGCCGGATGTGGAGTGACAAAGCAGCTGGGGACAACAAGCAGCCAGGGTGAGTCACCTGGGCTCTCAACACAGCTTCTTCTCCTCTTCCGGGATGAGTGACCACTAGTGCCTCTGCCTCAGATGGAGGTAACAGTGGGAAAGGTCTGCAAGTCAGGCAGAAGAAAGAGAAATGACCATTCTTGGACAATAGGAGATGGTCGTGCCTTGTTGAGAAGAGAGTCTGAAGAAGGCTGCCCTTCTGAGGATTAGGGAGTTTATAGCTTAAAGAACTGGAATCCCAGGCCACACTTCCAGGGAGAGATGTCCCTCATAGCCTCTGCAGAAAGGAAGTATATGAGGGGAATTGTCAAGTTCTCATCACATCTGGCTTTCATTTTCCTTAATTTATCACTGACTCATTTTTATATCACAATATCAAAAAATTAATTTGGTTCATGATTTCTTTACTTGGAAAATATTTATGCAGAATTTTCTTCTCTCTCTTGAATAATTCTTTATCTCAAAGAGAAGGGGATGACAGAGGATGAGATGGTTGGATGGCATCACCGACTCAATGGACATGAGTTTGGGTAAACTTCGGGAGTTGGTGATGGACAGGGAGGCCTGGCATGCTGTGATCCGTGGGGTCGCAAAGAGTTGGCCACGACTGAGTGACTGAACTGAACTGAAGTTGTTTTAACCCTTTTAATTTTTACAAAACGTGTCTGCAAAAGCTCTGTGATGGAACTTCTCTGCTTGTTACTTGGCTTTGAATGAAGTGAATTGCGTCAGGTTTTGATATTTGCTCACAATGTCTGAGAGAGATTGGATGGAAGGCTCCAGAACTGACATTATCAGCAACTTCACTATGTTTTCTTTAAAAAGTTTCTACCAAAATATGCACAATTTTCTGCTCCAGAGAAACAATACTTGTCACCCACCTAAGAAATAAAGGAATAAAAAAAAAAAAGGTCAGTCCTACCTTTAGCGTGAGTTGATGATGTTGACTAGGTGTGACATAACTGTAGACCCCAGGGTTCAGATTAAAGCCCCTTATAGCTCTCAGACATACTTCTGGTGGAATTTTCTACTCTGCTAAAAGATACTTGTGCAACTGTTCCTCTTACATTCTTTTATTGACCTACCTTTAAAGAGCTTTTGTTTGCTTATTTACTTGTTTATACTTGTTGTATTCAGATTTAAAGGAAAATCCCAGGAAAACAATGAGAGTAAGCCCTGGTCATCAACCCTTTAAGTTTCCACAGTATATTTGCAATTTATTTCCTTGAGGCCAGTGCTTCTTGTTTAAACTAGGGCTTTTCAAACTGGACTCTTTATGATCATCTCACGTATTTTTAAAGAAAGTACCACTTTCTTCAATAAGTGAAGAGATCAGTATTTCACAGTATATCATTTCAAAACTGATACTACAAAAGTATTTAAATTATAGTTAAATATATTATATATCAATATATTTAGATAGTCAATATTTAAATATATCAATATATTTAAATTAGATTATCTCTTGCTTGCTTTCAGATGGAATACATTTTCAATCTCCTTCACATTTCATATATGCTATTGTGTGTGAACTCGTTACCTAATATCAGAACTGCTTTTCTTCCCATGTTTTTATCTTGTCTTATGCTTCTGTGCAGATTGAAAAGGTACCATCGTGCTGGAGACCTCATCTGTAAACTAAGGATGTTCTCTTCCTGGTCCTTTGCCAACATCTCCTTCTTCCAGCCACCTGCTTTCCTGATGATTAGCATCCCAGGCCTGGAGGCTGTTCATGGCTGGATCTCCATCCCCTTCTCCTCCATGTACACTGCAGCCCTCACTGGAAACTGCCTGATCCTCTTGGCTGTGAGGAGGACTCCCAGCCTGCACCAGCCCATGTACTACTTCCTGTCCATGCTGGCCCTCACCGACGTGGGCCTCACCTTGTCCACAATGCCCACCACGCTGGCTGTGCTCTGGTTTGACCATCGGCTCATAGGCTTCAATGCCTGTCTGGCCCAGATGTTCTTCCTTCACTTCTTCTCTGTGGTGGAGTCCTCAGTGCTCCTGGCCATGTCGTTTGATCGCTTTGTGGCCATCTCCAACCCCCTGCGCTATGCCTCTGTCCTCACAGACAGTGTCATCATCAGGACTGGGCTGGGCATTGTGGCTCGCGCCACTGTGTCCCTCTTCCCTTTGCCCTTCTTACTAAAGAGACTGAACTTTTGCCCTGGCAAGATCCTCCTGTCCCACTCATTCTGTTTCCATGCAGATGTCATGAAACGAGCCTGTGCTGACATTACTGTCAATATCATTTACGGGCTGTATGTGGTTCTGTCCACAGTGGGTTTTGACTCCTTGCTTATTGTGCTGTCCTACACCCTTATTCTTCATACAGTGATGAGTCTGGCCTCTCCCAGGGAGCGTATCCGGGCCCTCAACACTTGTGTTTCTCATATTTTGGCTGTTCTGGTTTTCTACATCCCAGTCATAGGTGTGTCCATGATCCACCGTTTTGGGAGACACCTTCCCCCTGTAGTACATGCCCTTGTCGCCTACGTGTACCTGGTGGTGCCCCCTGTGCTGAACCCCATCATCTACAGTGTCAAGTCCAAGCCCATCAGGGAGGCCATGCTCAGGGTGCTGAGGGAGAAGAGGAAAGGCTGATGAAATCAAGAAATAACCTCAGAATCTGAGGGAAAACTCAGCCAAACAGTTATAACCTATGTCCAGAAAGCCCATATACTGAGCCCTGATCCAGAGACATTATCAAGAGAATGATAAGCAAATGCATATCCTCAGAATCAGCCCTGATTCTTTACTTCACTCATTAACCTCAGCTTTTTTATTCAGAGTTTACTTGTGCAAGTCTGTGGTTGTTATGAGATAACATCAAATAAACCATACATAGTCTCTTCCCTCCACTGAAGAACAGAAGTTTCTAAATACGCAATTACAGTAAGTGTAAGAAGACTGTGAGAGGTCCACACAAAGAGCTGTAGGAACCTAGAAGAGGGCTTACTGCTTTGACAGGAAAAAAAGAGAAAGGAGTCAGGGAAGAACGAGGCTGAAAAGTGAGTAAGAGCTTGTCAGGCAGAAAAGGTAGGCAAGTAGTGCCCAGATGCTCAGTTGTGTCCCACTCTTTTTGACCCCATGGACTGTAGCCCACCAGGTTCCTCTATCCATGGGATTTCCCAGGCAAGAATACTGGAATGGGTTGCCATGTCCTCCTCCAGGGGATCTTCCTGACCCAGGAATCGAACCTACATCTCCTGTGACTCTGGCACAGGCAGATTCTTTACCCACTGAGCCCTTGGAGAAGCCCCAGGCAAGCAGAGAAGAATGGAAAAGAAGGGAAAAACAAGTATGGAGTTCTCTGGTTGCTTGTGGGAAGTGAGTGGTCAGATGTGCCTCAGCATAATATGTGTGTTGGAGGCAAGGAAAGCTGCAGTTACAGCTCTTCACAACTATGGATCCAACGGATATCTCTTGCTCTAAAGGGGTAGCTCCTTGCTCAAGAATGACCTTCCTCTAGCCTGAGATCATAATACTAGAGCATCTTGTTTAGTTACACATCACTTTCTCTGCCTCACCTCTTAAAATTCCATGTGCCTGGGATAGAAATACCTTCATTCTAAAGTCATCCCAAAGATGCCACTCATGTAGGCATTTTCTTCACTGGCAGCTGCATTGGCAGAAAATCAGGGAGTCAGTAAATTTAAGCAGGATTTAAAGGCCAATGTTTCAAAACATAAATGTTCTCTTAAGATGCTACTGCACATTTTAGATCCTGATATCAATTTGGGGGCTATATATTCAGAAGTCATACTGCTGGATGATACAGTAGATCCATATTTAATTTTTTAAGGAACCCCCATACTATTTTTCATACTGGCTCCAAGAAAATACATTATCACCAACAATGTGCAGGGTTTCAATTGCTCCACATACTCAACAGTGCTTGTTGTCTTTTTTTAATGATAGTTGTGAAGTGATAGCTCATTTTGGTTTTGATTCATTTTTTTCTAATAATTAGCAAGGTTGAGAACCTTTTCATATCCCTATTGGTGTATCTTTGGAGATGCGTCTGTTCAATTCTTTTGTCCATTTTTTAATCAGGCTATTTCTTTCTTTTTTTTTTTTTTGCTTTGAGTGACAGGAGTCCCTTACGTATATTTTATATCAGTCCTTTATCAGGTATGTGGTTTGCAAATATTTTCTTCTTTCCATAGGTTTTCTTTTCACTCTGTTGATTGTTTCTCCTTTTCCATGCATTAACTTTTTAGTCTGATGTATCCCCACATGTCTGATTTTGCTTTTGTTGCTTGGGATTTTAGTTTCATATTCAATAAGTAATTGCCAAGTTCAATTACATGAAGCTTTTTCCTAAGTTTTCTTTTGGGTGTTTTATACTTCCAGGTATTAGGTTCAAATAGTTAATCTATTTTCAATTAATTTTTGCATGTGATATGAGATCAGGTCCAATTTTACTCTTTTGCATGTGGGCATTGAGTTTTCCCAATGCCACTTGTCAAAGAGATTGGTCCTTTCCCTACAGTCTATTTTTGGGATCCACATTAAAAATCAGTTGACTCTATATGAGTGGGTTTGGATCTTTGTTTTTTATACCAGTACCATACTGTTTTGAATTGCTTTAGATTTGTAATACATTTTGAAATCAGAACGTATATGATGCTTCCAGGTCTGTTCTTCTAGTTTAAGATTGCTTTGACCTTTGTGGGTCTTTTATGATTCCATATGAAGTTTAAGATTGTTGCTGCTTCTGTAAAAAATATCATTGAGATTTTTATATAAATTTCATTGCCTTTGCAGATCACTGGGGATAATAGGCACACTTTGACAATAATGAGTCTTCCCATCCATGAATACGCAATGTAATTTTATTCATTTGTGTCCTCTTTGATTCTTTCTTCAGCTATTAACAGTTTTTAGTGTACCAGTATTTCACCTCCTTGGTTAAGTTTATTCCTAAGCATTTTATTTTCTTTGATGCTACTGTAAAAAGGATCATTTTCAAAATTTCCATTTTGGATAGTTCATTTTTAGTGTTACAAAAACAAAACTGATTTTTCTGTATTTTTTTATCCTGCACTTTACTGAATTTGTTCTAATAGCTTTTTAAGAAATTTGAGGGCTCCACGGACATAAGATCATATTGTCAGCAAACAGAGAAAATTTTACTTCTTTTCCAATTTGAATCACTTTGTTTCATATTCTTATCTCACTGCTTTGGCCAGGACTTTTAGTACTATGTTGAATAAAAGTAGAAAAAGTAAGTATCCTTCTCTTGTTCCTGCTCCTTGTTTCTGAGAAAAATTTTTCAATTTTTCACTCTTAAGTGTAAGGTTAGTTATGGGCTTGTCATACATGTTCTTTGTTATGCTCATATACATTCCTTACATATATAGAACTACCATATTCATTTCAGCATTATTCACAATAGCCAAGATAGTAAAACAACCCACATATTCATCAACAGATGAATGGATAAAGAAAATGTGGTATACACATAAAATAGAATATTACTTACTCTTTAAAAAGAAGAGAATACTGCAATCTGCAACAAGGAAATATTTGGAGGTGATGGATATGCCTGTCACCTTGATTGTGATGAATGATTTTATGGATGTATAGATATGTCCAAATGAATCAAATATTATACATTAAAGGAATTCAGTTTTTTGTACATCAGTTATACCTCAATAAAGCTATTATATGTGCACGCGTGCACGCGCGCACACACACACACACACACACACACAGATGCTTCTGCATGTTAGCTCTGGGGCCTCTTCATGCTTTCAGTATTGTTTTCACTCTATTAGAAGTAGAGGAAGCCCCTGGAGATGGAACAAGATGGCAAGGACAGTGTCCTGGGTAGGAAGGCATGCCGCAGCTCTAAAACACAAGTCCAGAGACATGGATGAGCTCCCGTGTCTATCCTCAGTCATCTCTCTGTGTCTGAGGCCATTTATTCCCCCTCGGTCCTCCCAGGTTACTTGATCCATAGCTGCTATGGAACATGATGGGGCTCTCACAAAACCACAGGGAAAAACAGACACAGAAGTGAGTCTGCTTAACCTGCAAGGACAACCCTAGGAACCAAGAAGAGAGTGGAGAGAAATAAACACAACTCACCTGAGTGTCTGTAAGGCTCACTTGGAGGAACCAGGAAGTGTTCTGTGTGACTCCAGATAATAGGTCAGGTATCATTGGAAGGCACGGTGAAAAAAAGGTTGAAGTGCCAGTAGACTTTCCTACAAATGTAGTGGAATGGATGAACCTAGAAAGGATGATGATCCTAGCACTCTCCTCCACAGAGGTATGTCTGCTTTTCTCTTCTCTCTCTTTGGTCCCTAGGGTTGTCCTTGCAGGTTAAGCAGATCCACTTTTGTGTCAGTTTTTCCTGTGATTTTGTGAAACCCCATCGTGTTCCATAGTTTCAAAGTTGCTCAGATCCACAACTTTCCAACCAAACACATGTTTTGCACATTATCCATTTCCCTGGGAAGACTAAGCAGAGATTATCCTCTGTGGTCTGTGGCCAGGATGTCCCTGGGGAGCAGCAACTCACTAGGCACCTAGTCAGTGGTATAAAGTAGCATCTAAGTTGCAGAGTTTTTCTGGGCTCTTCAGAATGACGGGCAATAGAGAAGGCTGCAATGACAGGCGGGGTGAGTAACTTGGGTTAGAACCTTTTTTACACTATTAAGAAGGGTGGGGACCTGGTCAGTGAGTCTGAAATTCTCTCTCTGGCAGCTGCTGTCATGTTGAGGAATCAGTGGGATGGAGGATGAGTAGATGCCAGAAGCAGGAAGAAAAGGATTCCAGACCTTCATGAATGCTAGGTCTGCGTCACCAAATAAGAGAGAGGAAGTGAAAAGGCTACTTTCCTGAAAACACAGATATTGTCTAATTCAGATAATTATGCAGAAACCCAGACTCTGTGTCCAAGCAGATTAATACCTTTTTATTTCTCTAAGTCATCAATGTAAGGGTATCTTAAAAATCCCACTCCAGAGAGCATCCTGTGGGTGATCTAAATGTTTGCTTGGTTTCTACACTCTCACTATGAGATTGTCCTTTTCATTTTTCTGAGTAAGAAGAGCCTTTTAGAAAAGAACTTGACTTAAATATTGTGAAATAACTACAACATAGTATTAGATAGCACCTCCATCATGTCATGTAATTACAAGATTTCTTTCTTTCTTTCTTTCTTTTGTAAAAAAAGAAAACAACTTGGCTTTGAGGTCACGTAAAGAGTGTATTTTGGATTCAGCCTTTTGTTTCTCGGCTGTTTGACTTTCCAAGACACACGGAGTCACAAGATAACACAATCCTGGAGTGCTAAAGTGGAAAGGATGGAATTCCTCAGGGGAGAGCTATAATTTAAAATTATCTTTGACCCTTTAATGTCCTGGAGATAATAATAGAAGACCAAACCTGATCTGATTCCAGGTTAAAGTGATTTATTACAAAATGCTGAGCTACATGGGAAGCAAGAAACATTAATCCAACTTGGCTACTAAAATAGGCATTTTAGTAGAAGAACAGGGAGAAAAAAAGCCTTTCCTTTCTTTCAACACAAAAAATCTTTCTCAATGTTCAGTTCAGTTCAGTCACTCAGTTGTGTCTGACTCTTTGTG